AGTAAGAGTGTTGCGACATGATCCCCCGAGCTCCTCACACCACCAAACCCCCCCCCCCAATCCCACCCATTTTCTATTTGTATTATTTTAAAGTAAGAAATAATTATTGGATATGGTTTTTAGAATCAACAATAGGATACCAGATTTCATGTTGAAGAGAAATTTCACGCAAAATTAAACTAAAAATATGAGTTTTGAAAAAAAATGATGTGATGGGTTTCTTTACTATTTTTTCCAGTTTTAGTGAGTAAAAATCTATAAGAAACAGTAAAAATATCCTATGCAGTTTTTTGGTTGCAGACCTGTGTAATTTAAAAATAACTTCCTATAAAATTTGAATTAATACAGTTTTATTTAAATTACCTATATTAACTCAAATATATTACAAATTTACACATTTATGGCCAATTATGTTGATATTCATTCATGGAATAAAAAGAATGATATAAAAACCTCTTCAATGCAGATTTAAAACTCATATCAGTTGCCAACATTTTTATTGCTTGAGGAAGATGATTAAAAACTTTAATACATGATATGTAGGCACCATTATTTTATTTGGTAGGTTACCTGCAGGTAAATATACATTATTGAGGGCTCTAGTCTTGTATTTGTGAATCTAATGGTTAAAATCAAATAAATGTATTATTAATTGTATATAAAAGTAATGAATATATGTACTGAGAGTAGAACATCATTGTTTCCAAATTCTTAAAAATGTCACTACAAGACTCTCTTGGTCTAGAATTCGTTGTAATTCTAATAACTTTCTTTTGCAATGTAAAAACTTTGTTAATGCAAGAAGAGCCACCCCAAAAAATTATACCATAACTTATGATGGAATGTATACCAGCAAAGTAAATTAGTAGTTCCTATAGGATTCTGACGATGGTGTATAACACATTGATATATTGGGTTTTTGGACTTTATCCATCATCCTGGTTTTTAAGATAACTAATAAAAACACGACGTTTCGGAAACTGGATCTGTTTCCGTCCTCAGGTGAAGGAAAAACCTATTCTGTTGGGTCCGTTAGAAAGAGCTAGCCTCAATCACTGGAAGTGAGTATTCAGATCGCTGCCTTCTGTTATAGGACTGTCTCCATGGTCTAGTGGTCAGAGTTCCTGGCTACAGTTCCAGAGACCCGGGTGCAATTCCTGGCACTACCAGTTTTCTGTGAGAAGTAGTGGGTCTGGAATGGGGTCCACTCAGCACCGTGAGCATAACTGAGGAGCTACTTGAATGGAAAAGTAGCAGCTTCAGTCTAGTAAACCCAGATTAACGGCCACGGGGATCTGTTGCACTGACCATGCAACACCCTTAATCCGCTTGCAGACTACAGGCCCTGGAGTTTGTTCTTTGTTGTTTTTTTTTTTTTTAATGCCAATATGTAGTTTGGTAGATGCTACCCTGAAGATGGAGGATGCAGATTCCTCCAAAAGTTTGGTACCACTAACTAAACTATGTCATGTCACATTCCAGATGGCTTTGATCTGAATAAATAAGAATCCTTTCCTCCCAAATCTTCTCTTCATGTGCATTTTGTCATCTACATCTTTACCTTCACTTTTATGTGTGATGTATGTAAAGTAAAAAAGTAAAGCTATCCCTTAACAGGCCGTGAAGGCCCATAGGGTTGTGAGACCTTGAGGCTTCCACATTACCTTGACAATCGGCTCAAAGATGGCAGTGAGGTTGTCAGCCTTACACGCCGGCCGTGCTTCACTCCCCAGGAAAATTATTTAATTAATTCCTGGTACTCATTTCTGTTAGAGGCTGAGTAAACCCTAGGGCCTAGTGCGGCCGGAAGGATTAGGTCAATTGAAAAAAATCCAATGACCTCATTGGGACTTGAACCCGCGACCTTCCGACTTGTAGCATAGTACCTTAACCACTACGCTACCGCGTACCCCCATGTGTGATGTATAAGCCCTCTTTATCATTTTAACCCCATTTCCTTACTCCATGAAGAAAGGGATGCTTATATTACAATCCCTAAGCATGTCTTTCTATTAACCACTCATAACTTGTGAACAATATTAATCTAAGTCATGTACCTGCATATTTAACACATTGAGGACCGGTCGCATATCATTATTTCAGAACATGTTAGGTTGTAACACACTGTACCTTGCTCTGGCGCCACCCATGTTGCACGCAATGGTGTAATAAAGCTCTGGAATGTTCGCTTACTTGTCGGTAACTTGACCTCGCTGTTTTCTTAACGCACTATAAACGAAAATGCTTTGCTGCTCTTCAAGCTGTACGTACCAGCCAGTAGTTAGTGGTGGGGTATGGACAAGGACAAATTCTTCTCCGATGAGCTAGCTCACCTGGCTTGTGAGACGCATAGTAATGGTGATTCAGAGAGTGGCAGTGACAGGGCAGAACAAAGAATTGAGAATTGTGGCCACAGACAGTAAAAGTGACAGTAGGTCCGATGATAATGGGGGTAATAACACTGCGGGGACAGTAAATAATCTAAAAAAAAATCACAAAAATCTAAACCCTGATTCGAAATTGAAATATAAAGCATTTCTGGTGAATGTGGCAAAGGCCTGGGCTACAGACCAGATGATGACACAGACTTAGTGCGACCAGGCCCATGAACTCCTACCCCACACAGGCCTCATGTGGACCCCCCAGGGCAACTCTCGGGTGATATGCGGAAACATACCCTCGTGAAAATTGTGAAGAGTGAACATTCCAAGGGAAAGCATCCTTCTAGGCAATGCCTTGTTTCCACAGTTCACAGAAAAAGGAGTATGTCTACATTTGCAAGTTCCGTGTAATGCCACTTCACAAAGGGGAATGTTTCCAGAAATATCACACTCTCAAGCACTTCTAGGAGCACTGGTAAGTGTTCTCCAAAAATTTTAGTTCATGAAATTAATTAGGAGATTTTATATTAATTTTTAAAGTGAACAGTGCACAAGTTAGGATACTAGGTTTAATAATGGTAGCCCCACGGTGATTTAAATATTTAAATCGCCGGTCCGAAATGTGTTAATCTGAAAAACTACCATTGCATTTCCAGATAGTATTTTTGTAAAGAAAACTTCCAATTTTGGCCCTGATGAATCTCACCAACTTAGCAAAACACTTTCCTCAACTAACCACTTTGTTCTATACGCTTTTCCAACATTTATTTCAGAATATATGGAAAACAGTAAATCAATAATCCACTTATCTTGAAAATCAAAATCTTGTTTTTCAGACCTAAATTTGCAACAGGAGACATTTCATTCACCGCTGAATGGTTCGGTTGTCGTAGACATCAGCACCATAATTTTAAGAACTAATATGTCAATAACTTTCATAATCTGCAATTATTAAAGAAAGTAATAAATGGAATAAAACAGAAACTTGAAAAACAGTACAACATCTTCTGAAACTTACAGCATCAATATTCTGCACAATATCCTGGAAGGCAGGGTGAGTGCGGAATGGTTCGAACACATGTTTCTTGTACAGGAGCGTGTACACTAAATTAGGGTTATGTGCCAGTTGATGGCTCAGGCATGAATTTATGATCTCCAAGACCATACGGAGCACCTCCTCTAACACGCCAAGGTCCTGAACCTGGAATCACAGCTTATATTGTTACACAAATATTTATTGCCCTACTTGTAATTTAGCAAGTTATGGCTCAAATGTAGTATTAACCCATTAATCCTTATTGTACGTGATAAATAACTGAAGTAGGTCTTCGCAAGGTTTATTTTTCAGCAGGCATTTGAAGCCGAACGGAGTTTAGAACTGCCCTGAGGTAACCCATTTAGGACCTCTCTTGCCCAGGAATGCACGCTATAACTTGTGCGCAAAAAGCTAAGGGACTTCACCACACGAGTGATAACACACAGTATAAGGTCAGTGGGAATCCCAAGAGCTTTGGTTACATTTTTCCTTAAGGGCAAGCGAGTCAAGACCTTATTGGTCAAATTCAAAATAATTAGTTTATTCTAACCAATCAGCTAACGCTACCCAAGTGGTGAAACTATGAGATGGAATTTGCGTGGGTTGGCTTCACCACGCTTTGGCGAAGCTGACGCCACGCAGACACACAAAAGTGGGGCATTGAATAGAGTAGACGTGTCCGAAAGTGGAACACACAAAAGTCAAACCTCGAATAGTTTAGACGTGTCCGGATATACTCAGAGAATTGAATAAACAAAACAACATCCGAAAAAGTGGGTTATAGCA